TAAACATGGAGATAAAACCTCTTAAGGCATAAGCTATGGATTAATACAACATCTATACAAACCACCAAATTAAAAAAGAAGTTTGCAGCTGAGTCTCTGAGCACACAAAGGTTTTGGTCTGGGATATTTAGGCCTCATTATGAGTCAGTGGTCACCTGTGCTCAAGGCTAATTCCCTCCAATCCCACTGACAGCAAGGAGCGCTGTGGGTCACCTCCGCAGCAGCGCTTTCAGCAGCAGGCAAAGCCCTGCACACACTCCCAGGAGAGCCAACGTGCAGTTCCCAAAAGCCATGGCTTTATGTTTCCTGGCTTCTGTGCATTAAAAAATTAAACCTGTCATGTTTGATATTTTTTGGTTTTGCACACTTAATTTTCCTGAATAAAGATAGAAAAAAAAAAAAGCATCCTATTTCCTGGGAGACTTAAATGGATTGTCACAGAGATGCAGTAACATCAATTTGAATTTATAACATGCTCTGAGTCCTCAAAGTTGGTTACAACATAATCACAGAAGATATTCTCCTGCCTTAAGATAAAAACAGGAGAGTTTGCAAGCTTAAGTGTGCTCCCATTTTCCATACGCGTTATAGGAACCCAGGCTCCTCTCATCATCAGAAATCCTAGTAGAAAAGTCACGGTCTGCATTTATAAAATGCAGCTTTAACTGCTTTTCCTTTCTGATTTTCCTTTCCAAAGATGCCAACAGCATTTTTCCTCATCAAGGGTAAAGCCCAAGGCAAATGGGACATTTAAAAATAGCCCTAAGGAGACACTAGTGCACAAGACAGACCTTGGGAATTAGCAGCAATACTCTGCATTTAGAAGTCCTTTAGCTCTGAAGAACAAAGATGAACTTTGGAAGAGTGAGGAATACCAAGAAGCCAGTGAGCTCACTTTGATATCCATTTGAAAGGGCAGGGCACACTGATGTCTACAGTGGTATTTCCAAGAGCATCCATATCGAGGTTGCCTCTACTTCGGTGTAACAAACATAAGAATGAGCATCCTTTTCATATATTTAGAAGTCCTTTAGCTCTGAAGAACAAAGATGAACTTTGGAAGAGTGAGGAATACCAAGAAGCCAGTGAGCTCACTTTGATATCCATTTGAAAGGGCAGGGCACACTGATGTCTACAGTGGTATTTCCAAGAGCATCCATATCGAGGTTGCCTCTACTTCGGTGTAACAAACATAAGAATGAGCGTCCTTTTCATATATATATATATTCATTTCTTTTAGAAACTTTAAATTAACAGCCACAGAGCAGCTAAGACATCCCAATGATGTAATTAGGGGTCTGACCAGGACTACTTTACTGCCTTAACCTGTAGCTGACGCAACCCTTTATAAGAAATAATTTTAGAAAATTGATCTTGTCTGAAAGAGGGCTCCTGTGACAGAAGCTCTTCATTACCAGCCACGCAGCACTGCTACAACATCAGCTGAGCTCATTTCTCGGGACACAAAGTTTTGTATTGCACTTTAAAGAAAAAAGAAAAAAGCCTGAACAAGCATTCACCATGCTTTCCAAATGCTTAACCTAAGGGCACGAGTTACTGGGGCAGGTGGGACCATTAGGCTTCTCCTTCATTTCTGCCACCACTCTGACGGAGGTGAGCTTCTGGGGTTTTCTTCTGCTCCAGTTGTTTGAAGGCTGTTTTGCAGAGAGGTGAACCTTGCTGCACAGCCTGAACACACAATAGGTTGGCTGCATTCTGATCTTGAGGACAAAATTCCCCTGCTTCACATAACGGTGCTATCATGTACAAAGGCGATTGCCATCCCTCAGCACAACTGATATCCACACCCTGCAGAGAGGTGGGCTCCAAGGCTGTGTGTGCCCTTCAAGCCCACATCTGACAGATTCATCCTCTCTAGCTACCGCACACTAATATTACAAATCACCTAATCATTCCTGACAGCCAGCTTATGAGGTCTGCAAGTATGGGCATCTGTGACTGCTTCGTCCAAACAAACCATCTTTGACCTATTTTAAGAAGTTTTGTTGTTGAAGACAACTCCCTTCAGAGAGGTGCGAACATAACAATGAGGATCCACACTCTGCTGACCAACTTTCTGGCCCTGGAACCTTCTCAGACTTCTGCTCATCCTGGCTCCTTCTCCCTCGGGCCAGAAAACAGCATACCAACAGGGTTCCTACCTGCAGGAAGAACAAGTGCTGTGTGATTTCCTGAACCAGTTCCTCCTCTGCATTCTCAGGATAAAATTTGGCCAGGAAGTGAAAGGTGACGGGCTCCTCTGTTGGAACATCATGATCCAGAACCTGTGGGATACAAGAGCCATTCTCAGCTACTCCTTCCAGCTTCTTCAGCGCTCTGTCTCTTGGAGTCAAGACACAGTTCCCTTCTGTTCAGATCAGCACATCTTTTGTCAGGCATTTTAGACATCTAGAACAGGCGGACCAACCTAAGTAGTTCAGAAACAACAGTTAAAAAAACAAGCAAACATTTCTGACACCCATAATGATGCAAGAAAACAAACAAGGCAGAAACAAACGGCATGCGAAATGAGACAGCAAAGGTTGATCCTGATCTGCTGCGCGCATATTGCCTCTTCCAAACCCCGCAGAGTGATGCTACATCCCACCACGCCACCATCTGACTTTCTTGTGGTTGCCCTGCACTGCCTCCTCTTGTATTTCAGTGTTGTTCCTCGCTACCTTTCAATTGTGCTGGCACCGTCCAGTTCAGATTCACATTAGTTTAAAGGCTTGGCATGACTTGCAAGAGACACACAGATGCCCCTCAGCGCCTCAATTACCATCTGGTTTTAGTCTAACATCCTTCGGATGCAAACAGAACCACATCTATTGCCTCTCTAACCCACCCCTCAGCAACCTGGGGGTTTGCATATTTGGGAAGCGTTTCCTCCCTTATCTCCATCTCCTTTTCACTCCTCTGGTTTTCCTAAAGAAAGAGAGCTTCTTAGCTCTTTGTACATCTCAACAACAAAAGCCAAGATGCAACTTCGCTTTTCCCGCTAAAGGTTTTGTCATTCAGGGGCATAGAAGAGAGACTTTTAGGTTTCATTTACATTGCAGCCACCCTGAAGCCCAGCATCCCAGAAAGGCTGTCTCCAAAATGCCTCAAGGGGATCCGGTGTGCATGGTCTGAGGCTTCACAGCTCAGAAAGAGCTGGGGTGGGGGATGTCTGCCAACCCTTCCCTGTTTGACTTACAGGCACTGTGGGGATGAGATCTAAACACACTTCACCCAGTTCACTTTGATACCACACATAACACAATCGAAGAAAGAGGGAAAAAAGGACAATCTCCTTTGTCATCCCACATGACCTCTCCAGGGGAATTTGGTTCCAACCTTCTTGTCCATTTTGAGCCAAGCCACCGTATCCTTGATAGTGTATTGAAGCCCGAAGAACCAGGTTTCTCGGAGTCCTAGTGTCCTGCATACTAGATCAAACAGGTCCTTCCCTTTCCACTTCACCTGCATGAAAGCAAAGAGGAAGCAGAGTTACAAAGACGGATTTCAGAACTTCATCTCCGTTCAACCCAATCTGTCCTTTTTTCACCTCACAATGCCTTTTCGAGCATGGGGAAGGCATCTGGTACAGATATGGAAACATCCTAATGAAGCATACTTTATATCCTTCCATCTGATCTCATCCACTGATTACCAGCTCCTCCCTCACTAGGGAACAGAGATGTGATTTTTTTTCCACCCCTGCAATGACCACTGTAAATAAAAGCCCCCCTGTTTCTTCCTCTGGCAACCCACCGACATTCAACAGGGGAATTGAAGAGTCTGTTGAGGTTGCTTTTGAGCCATGCACTGCTATGAGCAGCCTATTTCCAGCAAGAAATAATAATCCCTCTTAACTGCCCTTTAGTGGCTTTAATGTCCCTGCCTATAGTCCCAGGAAGCCCTGCACAAACTCCGGTATCAGCAAAAGGGTTTCACAGACAAGGGTGCAACATGCTCCCGAAAATCCCAAGTGAATCGATCTATGTACGAAGTGAGTTCATCCAGAGCTACTGACTCTGCCCAGGTAAAAGGGAAAAAGAGCTCAGAAAAAAAGAAATTATCCCTGAAGTCAGCGGTTCTCTCACAGCACATTTTGATAGAGTCAAACTGCGTTTTCTGCTGAAAACATTGATGACAAAAGCAGCTCAGGAGCAGAGAAAATTGGTCCTGCTCAAAGGCCACGTCCTTCGAGCAATCTTGCAGCTGCATCTATGTTGTTACTGAAGTTTGCTCATAAAAACATAAGGCATTGGGAGGCAGAAAGGTGAAGAGGGACATAACACAGATGAATCTAATATGCCAAAGCCACTACTCTAAAGCCCTAGGGCAAAAGGATCTCAGCACATTCTCTTGTCACTACAACTCAATCTTGGTGCCACCTGGACAGCATCAATATTAATGCTCAGGCACGGCAGGGACTGCTGGTGCGGGTGACGCGACGCTCCCGCTGTCACCCACTGCCGCCTTGTGGGCAAAGCCGTTGAGGACAAACTTATTGCCATTCTGCTGCTTTCTCCCCCTCCCAGCTCACACACACGCACACTGACAGGCCCAGAATAGACTAAAGCAAACGCTACCCTCCAAAAAACAACACCCCAGGATGGCTCGCCACAGCCTCTCCGCAATTCATATCAAGCGCCGTCAACACCTCGAGGTCAAAAACACCAGGAGGAGCAAGTTTGCAGCGCTGTAATTATAAAACCCTAATTTCACACATTTAGCTAGCCTCCAGTCCCCGTGATGAGCTCCAGCTCGGCACAGGATGGCTCAGATTGTGGAAGATCTTTTCCTGACTATTATTTTAAGAGGGAGGTTAATTCAAGGGTTCAGACAAAACAGAGCGAGACACATTTAAACAGCTATTTTGTACCATTTCTGTAGGCACATAAACCCAGGCTGCCATCAAAGGGCTATTTCTTAACTAGAATTAAACTGCTTTGCATAAAGCGTTATTGGTTTTTTTTTTTTCTTCCTGCAAAGATCACATTTCAGCGCATTGCTTTAGAGGAGCGATCGGTGCCTGCACGCACACAGCCCTGCACCAAACCTTTCCCAGGACAGGCTCCCACATGCTGCTGACAGAAGCGTCTCCTCCCCGGACATTGCTCCACATCCCATGGGATCGGTGTTTTGAACAACCCCAGAGCAACCCCACTGAGTCCCCCTCCAGCTGGGATTTCCACTGGCTGCAGCTCCCCACCAAACCACCCCTGCGGAGCTTCACGCAGGCACCCAAACCTTATTCACTGCGCTGCACCAGCTGGCATGACCCAAAGAAAGATCTCCTCCTGAAAAGCAAGCTGGCAGTTAATTTCCGAGACCAGCAGCAAGCATTAAAGCAAGAACTTTGTGCGTTTCCCCTCCTCACAATTTTAATTTGGTGATGGGAATATTTTAAGCGTTTGCTTTCTGCTGCTAGATTTTACACTACCACTCTAGCATTGCACGCGTACGTTATGGCAGAAATATATATTTAACACTCCTGGCTGCACGGTGCTAAAGTCTCCAACCATAACATGGCACAGACATCCTCCCCGACTGTGTTGAACTACCTTCATTAAATATATAAATGGAACAGCAGCCACGTTTATTTCAACATACAGGACTTCGTTCCACACCTCGGTACTTAAAATAACGATCTGCATTCGAGTGGCATCTTTTGGCAGCTGAACTCCAACTGTTTTACAGACGTTCAGGACCTCAGCCCTCCTTACCCTTACCTGATAGGCCTCGTATCATTAACTGCCACATTTCATGGCCATAAACCACGAAAAAGACAGCCCCCCAGGCATGGGGAGATGGAGAGAGCTGCTGTCCAAGGCTGGGCAGAGAGCCTGGGGAGAGCTGGCCCAGGCTGGCAGCTCCCCTTCCCATCCTCTGCCCACAACACTGTTCCCCTGCTCTGCCCTAACGTGACACCTGAAGCACAAAGTTGATTTTGCAAGCCATTATGAGCTCCTGAAAACAAAGCAAAGAGGCTTAGAGGAGAAAAGTCCCCTCTCAGCCATATGCCGGAGTGGCTGGCACAATGCTATCATAAAGCTCAATCTCCCAATATAAAGCTACATCGCAATAACCTTAACCCAACCTGCAGAACAGAGCCGGATGCGATCACGTCACTTCAGCATCCTCGATCAGCTGCAGGCGTCACCTCTTGCATTTGCAGCTTTGCTTTCTCCCATTAGCACGATGGCAACACAGGTTGTTAGATATATTCAGCGAGTCGTTGAAGGAATATGTGGACGAAGTGCTTTATAAACAGCGTAAGTGCTGCAAGGCTGTTATTCTGCAGAGCTGGAATTTATGTTCTTTACTAAGTACAGAGTGCTTACAATTTATCAGCAGAGCATTTTAAGTAAACAGCACTAAACACTTAAAACTCAGCAGCCAGTGGCTAGAATAGAGTACTTCCAGTACGGGTTATTGGCATCATCTTTTTCTCCAGCAGAGGCATCGCATTTGGCATCTATTAACAGGGTTTGCATTATTTATTAACCTGCACCAAGAGTAATTTCCAACTAGCAGGCAACTGGACAATTTATTTCAGTGCACAACCCTTCTGTCAAGTTTCACAACTGCTCCTTAGTTAAAGAGTCTACAGACCAGCCACAAAACACGAGCAGAAGGGTTATGAGATCCCCTCATCACAGGGTGACAAGGAGTGACGCCAAGCGCTACAAAAAATGGTCACAAGAGGGTGCAACCATCCTGCACAGAGAGGGTTGAGCAGGGGTCTACAGAGAAAAGTGGTTCCCAAAACCCACTGGCGTAGGGCTGATGCTTTTCTTCCAATGCTGTCAAATTGAATTTACGCCAGCTAGGTGGAAAAGAAAAAAAAGAAAAAAAAAAAAAGGACTTCTTTTAACCATTCAAGATTAAGGTTCCTCGCACAAGAAGCTCTCCTTGGACAACAGGGAGATGCCCAAAGTCCAGGGACTCAGCTGTCTGGGGACACCGGAGGGAGATCTCACCTCCTTGTCATTGCAAACACAAACCATCAGAGCTTTGGCCATCCCTGGGGTCAGGCTGGGGAATAAGGGCACAAACAAGTGACCAGAGGACGTTAGGGCAGCACTCACCAGCTCAGCCTGGGCCTGCTGCCTCCCAGATCAAACTCATCGCAACGGTCCCTCCGTACCCCACACAATGCAACTGCTTTGTGGGAGGCAGGGTATTGGGTTAAAGCATGACCTTGAAGAAATTACTAACATCTATAAAACATTTTACTGCACCAATTCATTCTTAAATAATGCACAAAGTGGCTTTTCACCTTCGCAGATCATTTTATGAACTGTTAGCTCTCTGCCAGAGACGAGAAGACAGCACAGAGCCCCTGTTGTGATGACACGACAGTCTAAAAACACAGAAAAGGGGACCGAGCCCCAGAAGCAACGCTCGGCTTCCACCATGTGATGTTATTTCCATTTAGAGGCAAGCCTTAAAAAGAGGATGCGACACCTCCGCACTGAAACAGGGAGGGAGGTGGCAGAAGGGAAAGCGGCTGAGCACAGCACCCCTCTGCTAACCGTCTGGGAAACAATAGCTGGGTAGGCTATTCTGGGTAGGTATCTGTTCTTCATCCCACCAGGAGATGCCCAAACCAATCACGCACAACAGTTTTACCACTGAAAGGGAGATAACTTTGAGACTGCAGAGCACATTTATTCCTCCTTCTGGATTTGGATGAGAACAGGAGTGCCACAGACAACCATCTATTTGGATTTAAAGCCCATTTGGAGCAAACGGAGAATCAAATATGCAATATTCTTTTTTTTTTTTTTAAATAACTGATGTCAAAAACTTTCAGTTGCCACTTATGGAGCCACAAGACAGGGCTGTAAAAGTTATTTTTATTTACTAATGCTACACGACAACTCGATAATGAGCTTTTAATTAAAATCTATTTCTGTTAACCACTGAGGAGGCCAAAAACTCGCCCAGGCGTAACAACGCAGATGGTGCAGCCAAGTATGTTTTGTGGTGTCTGCCCAAGACAGAGACAGAGCAGGATATGCGGGAGAACAAGCTGCTGCTGCTCTGTCCAGCCGGCACCAAAATGAGTGGGAGAGGCGGAGGGGACAACAACCGACGACGTCCCAAAGCCTCACCTCACCCACAAGGTGGGGTTGCACAGTTAACGGGTCAAGCAGCAGCTCAAGGCAGGGGAAGAAGCTCCAAGAGGCCAAGAGAAGGATCTAATTCCTGCAGGGACCTCGGCTTCCTGTGCCAAGGATGCAGAGAGACAGAACATTAGATGGACCTGCCTCTGTGCTGCTGTCGCATCAAAGACCACGCAGGGGAGCGATCCCAGAGCCCAGCCTTACCTCTGGGTGGGAGCTGACTGCTGACAAACACGGGGGTATTTCAGCACAAGCCTGACCTGCTCCGATGATCTTCTGCATGCTGATGCGCTCTGAAAACAGCTTACCCCAGGGAAAGCCAAACTCAGCTTTAGGAAGCCAGTGTTGTCAGCCTTAGGAGAGAGGGTTAGCCTTGCCCAGCAATGGCAAATTTACTTCTGAATGAAGCAAGGCTAAACCATGGATGCTGTCAAATGCCTCTCTTCCAGTCTTAAGGGCTGTTTGATTTTCTAATAAAGTGCTGCCTCCCAGCTTCAAGCAGATTGTTTCCAGGGCTGCTTCCCTGTTCAAGTACTTTTAATTTCAAAAACCACCTACTTGAAGGCCACTGCCTGTACAAAGACAGAAATAAAAAGAAAAAAAAAAAAAAAAAAAAAGAGGTATTAAACAGCATCAAAACTAGAGTACATACCCCAAAAGAGAAAGGTGTGTTTCTGTCCCAAATACCTTCCCTCCTTCCCCTTTGCACCAACACACCTCCTCTGGATTAACCACAGAGGCTGAGGACTGACAGTGGTTTTGACCCATCTTTGGAGGGAATTGGATAACATGGCATTTCATAACCAGCTTAGAAGAGGCTGCAGTGGGGCACACGGGATCCAGAGAGCATTTCAGATGCAGGGTGCCGGCACAGAGAAGCCAAAGAGGATCTGTGTTCGTAAGTCTCATGTGACTTGCGCACAGCTTAAGGGAATGCAGAACTGAGCCTCACCAAGCAACACATCTCTGAAAAATTAATCCCCAAATGACACTGTTGTGAATCAGCAGAATTTCCAACTTTTTTTGGCATAAACCCCTCCCAACACAAGAAGTGAGAAAACAGCCCTTACCTGCCGCACCTCTTATTTAAAGAGAGATCAGCAGCAACCAAACAGCACAAACTCTTGAGCGCTCGCAGAGAGCCGACACAGCATCAGGGCAGACGGGCGTGCTAAGGAACCAGAACATTGACTTGACAGCTGGTATCCCAACAATTTACTGAAGATCATTTCGTAGCTGAGGGGGATTATTTCTCGCAGCTTTTTAAAATAGCTGGTACTGCCCACAGATTCGTCTTTTCCAGTTAACTTTCTGCCTGCTTGCAGAAGCTTAGCAGCATCGAGAAAGGTCACTGCCCCTACTAGCATCACCGAGCTGCTGCTAAACGTCTAACTGTGGATGGAAGGATCCTTATGAAACCCCTTCCAAGTATTCGGCAAAGCAGAAGGAAGCTGGGGGCACTCTGCTCCCCCGTTTCCTTCTCTTGCCTTTTTATTTTGGTGCAGTGATTGGACAAAGCTCAAACCTTGACCTCAATTTACAGTGTCAGCTCTTACTCAAAAAATTATTTGGCCCCAGATTTTCACCGCCAAATCTTCGCTTGCTGCTGTTTCAGAGGATGAGCTTTTGCAGCTCAGCTACATAACTCCCTACGTCTCAAAGTCTAACGCTTGGCTGCACGCTGCTGAAATTGGGTCTTGTCTACTTACAAGTGAACAGAAAAGCTTTACCGCCAACCTCATCCAACTGGCCCTGGATCAAGCGGGGCACTGGGCTAAATAGATCCCCTCCAACCAAAATTATTCTCTGGGGAGAGAGAGAAGAACAGCTTAAGCACTGAAGCAGTAACAGGATGCACGTTTACACCAGCAAATACATCAGTCCAAACTTGCTGCTTGAACGCTTAAGCTGTTTCTCTAGATTGGCTGTAAAGCTTTTCCATTCATTTTTATCTTAAGACCCAGAGAAAAGGATTAAGACCAGGAAGCAGCTGGGCAGCTAGCTGTACCTGCCTGGGGTAAAACCATCCCTGCAGAAGTCTCAGGTCCAAGATCACAGGCACAATAGAAAGAGCTAAAGCAAAAACACACCCTTCAGAAAAGATGCTGTGGCTCCGGAGAGCCACTAACCCAACTGACCGCTGCAAGAAGAAGAAATGGGCAAAGACATGCACAAGACCAAAAGAAAGATCGATGGATTCTCCTATCAACCACAGAACTTGGTTCTTGGAGGAAAAAAGCCTGCACATTGGAGAGCATGAGACCACCTGACACCCACCATGCTATGCCACCACCATCCGTCTGGCGGGACAGGATGAACGATGCCTCGAAGACATGGACTCAAAACTACTGCAGGGTTTTAAGACGTTATGCCAGAGATAACTGATAACTGACTACCTCATCGGGAGAGGCACCACCAAAACCACATTACCTTTGCCACATTGACTACATTAATTCAGTTCAGGGCCACCAGCAGGAAGCAGCACCATCGGGGTGGCAATGGCAGAGGAAACCATCAGGCATGGCAGGCATCTGGCACTGCGCTCCGAGCCAATATCAAGCCATTAGTGCAAGTACCACACCCTGGCAAGCTCGGCTTTACACTACTGCCACTGAAAATAGCTTCCTGAATCAGTACTCGAGCAGCTTACCACCTATCGCAGTGTTAAACACAGGAGAACATCCACATTAAATGTCTTTCGACACGGTTTCTCTCTCGTTCCTCTCCCAGCACAGAAAGCCAAGGGACTACACGGGCTATTTGAGGGTGTTCTCAGGAAGGTGGGGCAGTTAGGGATTGGTTTAACACAGGGATTTTAAAAGCTATGCAAATGTCTATCCTTCCTCAAGGTGCTATCAATTAATTAGGTACCAGGCTTAAATAGCCACAATGGAAGTCAAAAGGAAGGCACTCACTTTGTGCCTTCAAGATTTTCCCAAACAAATTCTAACTCTTTAAAGCAAAACCCCAACTGTGATTACTAAGCTCCATCACTGTGTTAGAAAGATTAAGATTTCATTTCAACAAATTATTTTAGATTTAGGCTCAATTTAGAGACATCATTTGCAGAGTAAACAGATGCAAAGCAGGTTTAATCTCTTAAAATACACAGCTGGGAATTTCTACAGGGCAGACTGAAAAATTAGCCCAGGAAAACAAGGTGGCCCCCCCCAGCAGCTATGGTGATGTCAGAAGAGGGACTGCTGGGTTGGGAGCCAGGGCTCTACAGTTTTCACTGAGCAACCTTCAGTCCAGCCACCAACGCCAGAGCAGGTTACGGATTCAGATCTCTCAGCTGCTCCGCACGCTGTCCTCAAGGGCTGGGGCAGACCTTGCTAGCCCCAGATGCTCACCGCACTACCCGGCCAGCCGCTGCCGAGCCTTACACCCCGCAGCCTCTGCCACTTCCAGCTGCCTGGCCACCCTCAAGGTCTTGGGCCTCCGCTGTCACCACCCCGAGGTGAGGGCATCGCTGCTGTCCTGCACGGCGGGGAAGCCTAACTCGTGACAACACAGAGCACACCTCGAGAAAGGTTTAAAGAAAACGTTTAAAGAAAAAACATCAGTTATATTAATCCCACACAGAAAAGCCGCTACAGCAAAGTGCTCGTTGCTCAAATGTGTTTACCAGCAACGCGATCAATATCCGTCCACGAAGCCACCATTTAATCTATGCTAAAGACCAGCATTGGCCTCCCTAGAATGGCCACACACCGCCTGGACCACTCACCAGCCCAGGCACCCAGCTTCTGGAGAAGGAAAAGGGGGGAGAAAGCAACATGGCAACAGGAGCAAGGCTGGGAGTGCAGAGGTAGAGTATGGAGACAAGCAGTGGTGTAGTGGGGTAGAGGGAGGACAGGGGCTTTTGGAAGTGGATGGGATCGAGGGCATGACAAGATGGCACAGCAGGATGACAGAAATAGAATAGAAGAGAATCATAGAATCGTTTAGGTTGGAAAAGACCTTTAAGATCATCAAGTCCAACCGTTAAATCAGCCTGCTCTGCCCGGAGCGCAGCCTCTCCTCCTCAGGGACCTGCAGCCCTGACCCACAGAGGATGCAGGAGGGAGCAGGTATTTCCCACTGCCCCACCCTGCTCCCAACACTCACCTCACAGCTCCCCAGGCTCAAGCGAAGCATGCTGCCTGGGACGGCTGCAGAGCAGGCAGGGTTCCCTGGGCAAGGCCATTTGAACGGGCAACCTGCGGTGAAGCCAAGGTGTTGGTGTGGATTAGGCAGCAAAACATTCCTGCGCTCCTTCTTCCACCTGCTCAGCTGCTATTTATTGAGGGGGTTGAAGCAGGAGGCAGGGAGCAGGCTCCAGCACACCAGGTATGTACCAAAACCCAACCAGAGGCACAACCCAGGACTGCTGGCCTCGCTGAGGAATTGCTGAACCCCCAGCTCATTCCCTCGGTGGACCCAGGAGGTGCCTGTGGCCGGAGAGCAGCACCAGCAGAAAAGGGAGGGACAAGCATGGGCAGCAGAAGCCAAGAAGCAGCGGTGTTTCCCCTTGCCCGGCTCGGCAAGGAGAGGAGTATACCCAGGAACAGGCTGATGAGACCTCCAACAAGCCACCGGCTCTCTGTCCCTGTCAGCACCAGGTAGCATTCATGGGCTGTAAAAAACACATTTCAAGAGCCCCCCAAAGAGCACAACAGCAAGACTCCCGCTGCACCTCCTTCCACTAATCCTCTAAAGAGTGCTCGTGCAGCAGAGGTTTCACCCTCCCCAGCCTCCTGCTCAGGTCAGCAGTCCTCCTTCCTGCCTGAAGAAACCCACCGCATCGATGTACACACAGATACTCGGGCAAACATTGTGCTGTTCTCCCGTTTCATCCCTCCAGGGCTTCAGCCTGGCAAACCATCAGACAGAGGCCAGATCCCTTCAAGGAGGAGCATGGTCCTCCCCAGATCATCACCTCTCCCACCCCTTTGACTTTCAGGAGGGGAAGCGAGACCACCACAAGATCTGCTCCTGGCTCTAGGTCCCACTGCGAGCTACCATGGTGAGGACCAAGCCAAGCCCTTTGCTGGGCCAACCTTCCTATCCCCTCCCTCACATCAGCCCCAGGGACTCGAGGCTGCAGGGTGTGTCTGATCCATCAGGCATTGGGCTTGGTGCATTTCTGCAGAGTCAGCAAGCCAAGGAGCTTTCCCCCAAAGCCATACAACTACAAGACACAGACGGGGGCAGAGATGCGGCCAGGGAGCTGGACTGCTTGAATAAAGCTTGAATAAAACTCACACCTCAAGCTGGGCTGCCCTGTGCTTGAATAAAACACACCCTGCCTGTGCTAAGCATGGTGTGGAACGCCCCCATCACCCACCTGCACCCAGCTATTTCCCTTCCATCCGCTTGAGCACTCTGCACCAAAGGATGATGCTTGAATTCCCCCATGCATCCCTTGTGCACTGATTCCGACAAGACATGGGAGACCCGAGCAGGACTGTACATGCAGCTTGTGAGCTCCTTCCTGTGCTTCTAGGAGGGCTGGAGAGGTCCATCTGCAGCGACGAGCTTTTTTGGCAGGAACTTCCCCAAAAAGTCATCTGAAGAAGCACAAGTTGCATGTTCAAATCCCACCCGAGTGTGCTGCTTTACCGCTGTACAAATCCCCTAATCCCAACTTGAAACATCAAGCGGCTGCACCATTAAAAAAAAAGAATTATTTACTTTTCATCATACATTATTGCTGGCAGCCTTGGAAAAACATGCAAGAACAGAGCCAGGACACCTAAACTCTCCTGGCAGCGTAACGGTGGGAAGCTTGCGCGACTACTGTCTAAAATAAATCCTTAATCCCTGGGAAAGGCAGAAAGTTCTTCAGAGATGACAACAGTTTTCAGGAGCAAGAAAATTTATGACAACAAACACCCTTTGGCTTACAGGCACTGGAATTCCATCAAGACTGGGATCAGGCTAACGAAATATAAAGTATTAAATAAAAAAGTTCAGACGTAGTTTGGTTAGACGTAGTTTTTAATCTTTGTGTGTCCAGTCCCTCCAGACTGGGTGAAAACGCAGCAACAACAAACCAGACCCTTGGGGCCTGACAGTGACTGCCCAGGGAAGAACATTTCAGAATTACCAAGGGCCCAAAAAAGGAAAGTATCAGAGAAAAACCAGGCAGGAGCAGGCACCAGGACACAGCCCCTCCCAGAACACCCTTTATCCGCAGGACTGAGCTAATAAGTCAAGAAAACGACAAAATTTCATCCCCATACATTTGTGGAGCGCTTTTGAGTTGAACCCTCGTGGATTCAAGCCCCGGCCTCCAGACAGCTTCTGCTGGAGCAGGCAACTACAGCTGTAACAGCAAAATAAAGCGGAATTATAAAGAAAATAAAGGCGAGCTCGGACCGGGATAAAGGCGAGTTGCACGGCCCCACTGTCCCACCGTACAGCCCTCCGTGACCCCGCACCTCCCACCGGCGGCCGAGGAGCCCGCCCAGCGCAGGCCCCAGAGCCCCCCCACACCC